TTCAGAAAAAATAGGGGAGGGGGGGGGCGTAGAGAAAAGGGGCAGAATTAAATGCTTGAAATCCTTATGTGCAATGTTAAACACAAAGAAATATGCTTTGGGGGATTGTATGAGACTTGGTTTTTCTTTTAAATATAGGGTGCTTTACGTCCCAATAGATAGCAATTGAGTTCATTTAGGAGGCGGGTTTTTAACTCTACCTTAAAGTACCAACACACACTGAAAGGGATACAACGTCTCAAGAGAAAACAGAGAAACTCGATTTTTAAAAATTCTCCATACACGGTAATTAAAATAATTCGGGTCTTCTGCTTTCGGCTGTGAAGCGCCTAATCGCTCGTTTAGTAAGTTTTAGTAATAGTTTTACGACGCCGACTCTAGCAACTGCATAAGGTCATACGAGCGCGGCCTAATCGCTACACCAAAGACGCCAGTTGTATGAGAGTAAGCTCCCAACAAAAATAATGATGCGATAAACTTATCAAAGAAAGAGCACGGGGGTAACAATACACATATCATGTTCCCAGACAAAAAAGAGTCTCCGATTCAGACTAAATAACGATGTGAATAGAATTAAAGGGTCAAGAGAAAAACAAGCCAAGTCACATTAATCCTACCGTAACTTAGTCTGTTTTCCACTTTTTTTAAATAACAGAATTGCCTTGCTGCTAATATTTCTATCTTGAAATGAGGACCTTTCATATTGGGCTTAACATTGAAATTAAACATTTGGTGGTATGGAGATTGAAAAAAAAGATTCAAAACTCTCATTTTTTACAGTCCTTTGCCGACAGTGGCAAATAATGGTCGCAAAATGACGAAAATTCATCAATTGAGAATGTTATTGCTCATTTAATTGTACACCAATCTTCTTCAAAATTTTGTGAGGATATAAAACAAATTAAGATCTAAATTCATACTACATGGATTTTCAATTAAAGCAATTTCAAAGATTTATTGGCTGCTACACTTTAGTGTACCCACAGTAATGACAATTTAAAGGGGTAGGGCTGTTAAAAAATCATTTTTCTTAAAAAGTACTTTACAAATCAAATTTTCCTGTTGTATGAATTTACACAACATCATACTATACGCCTTGTGTATAAAGTTTCATCCACTTTAGTTCACAAATAATTGTGTAATACCAATTTCCGAGGGGAAAAGAATTGCAAAATGAGAAAATCACAAAAACGACGAAGAGAGTCATATTCGCTCACAAATTCTCGAAATTTTGTTCCCACACTTGCTAGCATGGTGTTGATCTGGAAACGCAAAACGTGGAATATGAGCTAAACTACGATACCAAACACCTCGGGGAAAGATGCAATGTGTAGTTTGAATTATGGAATTACTTGGTTCAATTTATGAGTTGTTTTTCACCAAAACACACGAGGGAAGACCGATATCTACATATTTCAAGGGAAATTTATGTCAGGAAGAGAACTTTCTTTAGTATAACTGATCATATGATGCCGTGTAGAAATGGTTGAACAATTGAAATTCTTCAGAATTGAATATTTGATGAAAATTCGATTTTGACCCGATTCCCCACCTGCATATCCCCTTAACTTTAGTTGGGTAGGTGGAAGGTGCTCTGGCGTGGTTTACTCCTTTCCAATCAAACATCTATCGTCCTGATCTCTCCTCCTCCTTTTTTGTGTTTGTTACTTTGTTGTAACATCTCTTATCTTTGGCAATTATATGCCTGCATTGTGTTGTTGGTGCCTTAAAACCCGTACTAAAACTAAACGTCCCGAACTTCATTTGCTCTCATAAAATATAGTTTGTAAATGACCCAGTTGTTTTTCACTTTATTGATTTCAAACGAACATTTTACTAGTATTGTTGTGAGTTAAACACTATTATAATACCCTGACTTTTTTCTTCTGAAAATGAACATATCCCGTGAGTCATTTGACCCCTTCAGTTATGTTTTACGAAAGCTTTTTGATCTCATGCTCCACTTGGTGCTCGCTGTTAAGACGTTCAGCTCTGTGTCTTTTCTGACGATAGCTCCTCGGAACAAAGGGGAATTTATAGTTCACTGGGTGTGTATATAGCCTATGTTAAAAGTTTAATCCTGCCACCCCAGTTCAGCCAGGCATAGCTTACACCAAATGTCAAATTCATGTTCTCAAACAAAACGAAAAATACCTGTGGGGATATCAACAGCTGGGGTTGGCATGTCTTGCTAAGGTTCCACGTTCACTCCGTGTACCTAGTTTAGGCAGACGTCTGTCTCTTCGTGATAAACGGTATAAGTTGAAAGCTCCTATCAACACAATTAGGTTATTTAAGAGGCGGGACAGAGCTTAATAAGAATTCCGTGTAAAGCGTCTTTCCCAAGGACACAACGTCGGACCGAGCTGATGCAATCTTCGGCTGTCCATCAAAATAGTTGATAACAGTTTGCATGATACAGCTTAGCCTGGGCTGTAGACGGCCTAAAACTCTAACCATTGCACCACAGACGCCGGTGAAATGAAACTATGTCCACACCAAAGTGGTCAGCACAAAGAGGTTAAGATTTAGATAGTATTATTTATAGCTTGTTTGGGTCGGAAAAAAAACTAGATCTATATTTTTAAAGAAGAATACTTATAATACATTTTTTAAAATAACACACTGTCATTTCAGCCATCCATTGTACAAATTCCATAATCTCAAACCCAAAACTTCAGGGGTATAAATAGACTATTTTTTAGAGGAAGTGCTATGGCTAAATCAATAACACTACATTACTGTAACCATCGTTTGGGACTTCCTCCTTTAGAATCATAAAGCTAAATCAAGACAGTTATTATCTGTTATATTTTTCAGAACTCAGCGACCTATCCCGCTATCTAAGAATAAGAAGGTGCCCATTATACCCTCTGTCCCCTTTGTTCCCTATAAGGGCGATCCATGGTTGATCACCTCTAGATAGAGGTAAGTTTGGGTTTGAAAAGTCGCAAGATTATTGAATCAGACAATCGCAGAAGGATTGTGAAGGTTTTGTAAACGCCTCAAACACTATAAATTTACTCTCAGCGTTTCGGACAAAAACCTTTCTTCAACATACGCACATATAGAATGACAAGAAATTGTAATACATAAACACGCATACCAATATCTATTAAACTCACATTACGGCAAAGAAAAACTATCAAAACAAAACAACAACAACAACAACAACAACAACAACAATAACAACAACAACAACAACAACAACAACAACAACAACAACAACGGAGAACAAAACACCTCCAGGTTAATATCAAAAATGAAAAGAGATAATAAAGAATATCAGATGCAGTCGTCACAAGTATATTACATGAGGAAAGGAGGAAAATTCGGAGGGAGGGGGGGTAGTCCGCTCTCTTGACTTAAACGACCTCTATTTCGACCCATTCGGAACGACTACCGCACCTAAAATCGAACTCCACCCCCCACGAAGACAGAGAAATGCACTGAGTTCCCTGTGACCTTAAAGGACATAAACTGGACTTTATGGCACTATTTACAACGCAGTGGGTGAATTAACTCATTGAGAGCGCGCCGTCTGGCTGTTCGGCATGGCTTGAAAACACGCTGTTCTAAGCGCAAAGAGGCATAACTTAGTTATTCATACACATTTTTCAGGTGTGTTTCCTTCATGTGAAACTTTTAATAGACAGGCAACAGCATGTATGCGATGAAATGATGCAAATTCCTGTTTCTGATTCTCGTATATCGGTTCGGAATGTGCCGCAACATTGATTTTGTTCTGCTGCTGCTGCTGCTGCTGCTGCTGCTGCTGCTGATGATGATGATGATGATGATGATGATGACGATGATGATGATGATGATGATGATGATGATGATGATGATGATGATGATGATGATCGGACATTAATATTATGTGTCCACTACATCCTAAATAGTTAATCCTTACAGCCAGTGAGAGGCACAGTGGACATTACCAGCTCTTGTCTAGAAAAATCACGCCGACCATGTATATCAGGATACAAGTAAAACCACCTTATACCTTCTTTACAACCTGCATATCTAACCCTCGTCATATAAAGCTCTTTTGTTGCTGTATATCTCTTGTAGCTTCGTAATAAAAGAGAAAATATATCTATGAAGCGGCATACCAGTCTGACCCCCTCAAAGATGAGACGCCGATACGCATCAAATCTGATGTGCCAGCTCTTCAATGCGAGCTTAATCTGTTCGTTTAAGGTTCTGGTTTCATTACCTTTGAATACTTTTAAGTGCTGTTCATTTTTTGTAGGTTTCATTGTTTCGGGGGTGTCTGGCATATTTTGAAAAGTAAATTATGGCATTGATGAACACAACTGTTAACTTATTACCTACCCTAAGCCGCCCTTAAAGAGTTAATCCGTATAGTCAGTGAGAGGTACAATGGACAACACTAGCTCTTGGCTGGCAAAATGCCGCCGACCATTTATAACGGGATACAATAAAACCACCTTATGCCCTCTCTACAACTTGCCTTCAACCCTCCCCCGCCCCCCACTTTTTTAAAATAAAACTTCTTTGCTGCCGTATTTTTCTGGTAACTTCGTAATATAAGAGAAAATAGATCTTGGAAGCCGTATGCCAGTGCGACCCCCTCAAAGATGGAACTCCGATGTGCTTTGAATTTAACATGCCAGCTTTTCAAAGAGAACGTTCTTTGTATGATTTCCCTTCATTACCTTTGATTACTTTTGATATGTACACTTTAGCTTGAAGTGTCTGGCATCTCTTGAAGGAGCAAACTATCGCATCATTTACCGTGAATCGCATTTTGCTTCTCGAAAAATTCGTTCATTATGGAAACCATAATGTCTACAAACTAACAAAAACCATTATTTTAGCTCGAATTACTTTATGGTACCTTCTGCTACCAAGTCAATTTCCCTACCTGCTTTTTGTATGCCTGTGCTTTTCTGATAACGGTCAGATTTTTATTTTTTTTAACGGCCGCCAAAACACTTGGTCACACTGAGGAAAATGGTCTGGCCTGGCGAAAAAGTGAAACATTTTTGGAGGTAATATTTCTTCCATTAACAAGCTTTCATATTCATTGAATCAGGAGCTACTAACTTTAAATTAGGCCGGGAGGACTCGAAAGTAAACGACAAAAGTGATCTCTCAGGCTTTTGAGAAACTATAGCGACCATCAGAGTGACGGACTCTTCTTAGTATAGGGAAGGCTGTTCCACGCAGCCAGTTTTGTTGAGCGCCTGATTCTACCACGTCGTGACATAATAATAATAATAATATAATAATAATAATAATAATAATAATAATAATAATAATAATAATAATAGTAATAATAGTAATAATAGTAATAATAATAATAATAATAATAATAATAATAATAATAATAATAATAATAATAATAATAATAATAATAATAATAATAACAATAATAATAATCGCATTTATATAGCGCATATTCATGCACAAGAGCATGCTCTATGCGCTTTACAACTATTATTACCCCAGCAGACCCTCTGACAACACTCAGAAACATTCTCGGCTTCCGCGGAAGCATACAGTGCAAGCTGCAGATTTCACGCGCTCAAACGCTATCAAACTGACAAGATCGTTCACTGTCTATAGCCGGGTACCCATTTCCACCTGGGTGAAGTGAGGAAAATTTGTGCAAAGTGCCTTTCCCAAGGACACAACGTCGGGCCCCTGACGGGATTCGAACCCACGACCTTACGGTTGCGAGTTCGAGAGCCCAATCACTAGGCCACCGACGCCACTAATTTGTTCGGATCACCAACAGCGGTTGCCGCTTCGATTGTTCTTCTTCTTTTCGAGCAGATTGAATGTATCAGTTCAGTTCCGTCTCAGACTGGGATTTGGTTGTAGTCACATGACTATCAGCATGAAGAATTCAACACCAGAACCATTATCGCACGGATCAGGGCAGCTCTTGAATGCATTCCACGAGTGCTTTGCCGTAAAACGAAGCGAGTGCCACGAGATATCAAATTAACCTACATCAGCTATAGAATTAGAAGTCTATAGAATCTTGTCAATTATTCAAATTGCAATGCTGTGTAATAACAGGACTGATAGAGGTGCTTTGTTTAAATTTTTTTTATTGGTTTTGTTTGGTATGCGCACGAATATTTGTGTGTGTGTGCGTGTGTGTGTGTGTGTGTGTGTGTGTGTGTGTGTGTGTGTGTGTGTGTGTGTGTGCATGTGTGTGTGTGTGGGGGGTATGTATGAGTGTGTGTATGTTTTTGTTGTTGTTGGTGGAGGGTTTGTTTGTTTGTTTTTTGTTGTTTTGTTTTAGTTTAATCCCAATAGTTAAAAGTATAAGATTTTTTCTATACAGCTTAATTTGATCTTTTCAGTTTTTCCTTGCTGTACAGGTAATTCTCTTGGACAGGTGGTGCTTAGAGCAGTTTCAACTGTATTCCAGTGAATGATAATAGTGAGGCATCGGGTTGAAATCAGGCGCTCGTCAAAATAATGAAATATTGAAGAAAGCAGCATTTTTTTCTGCTTTTTTTTTTTTTTTTTTTTTTTTTTTTTTTTGTTATTGTTGCTGTTGTTGTTGTTTTGTTGTTGTTTGTTGTTGTTTTTTTTGGGGGGGGGGCGGTTGCTTAACATCTTTTATGTTCATTTATAAGCACATTTCAAAAATGATAATGCACCTTGCCTCCAACAGTGCGTTGGATCTGTGAGGACTGCAGGAATCCATCCAAAGCTGTCAGTGTCAGGATGCCACAACCGTGCTTCTTCCACAACGATGCCCGGAGTTATGGCATGCAGGAGAAGTAAGCGGTTTGCGACTGCTACAAAAAATACGTCAATGTCTTGTGTTGCTTCGTGTTGGTTGTTGGTGTTGGTGGTGTTTTGTGGTGGTGATGGTGGTGTGTTGTACTGATGTTGAAGATGATGATGATCCTGAGAGGAGGTTTTGTAGTAGTAGGGGTGGCGGCGGTTGTGGTGGTGATGATGATGATGATGATGATGATGATGATGATGATGATGATGATGATGATGATGATGATGATGATGATGATGATGATGGTGATGATGATGATGAGCGGACATTTAACACAGTGCACAGGATGTCTTTTTCCATGCTCTCGAGAAAACAAAGTACAAACGAATTGTACCGAATATTGTCCAAAAGGCCAACCCGCTTGCCTCAAGCATTAACTTCAGCAGCATTTGTCACTCTATAAATTACCTTTGAACTTAACTACTTCTTCTTCTTCTTCTTCTTCTTCTTCTTCTTCTCCTCCTCCTCCTCCTCCTCCTCCTCCTTCTTTTTCTTCTTCTTCTTCTTCTTCTTCTTCTTGAAGACCGGTGTCTGCCATCTACAGTTTCCCCTGCTAATTCTCCTGTAGCTTTAATGGGGTTGGCCACTGTTCATGCGATAAGACATTTTGTGTTCTGATTAACCAAATGCGTGGTTGGTTAGCGGGTGCTCTGGTGTGGTTTGCTCCTTCTTTCCTATCAAACGTCTATCATTCTTATCGCCCTCCTTCTTTTTCTTGTTTGTTACTCTCTTGTAACACCCCTAATCGTCAGCACTCATGTGACCTTATTGTGATGCAAGTGTCTTAAAACTCTTACTAAAACTAACCAAGTGCAGATCCCATCACACTTGAAGTCTTATCATAAGACCTGTCCTGCTCAGTTCATCTGTCGGCCTGCACAGCTCCTCTTGTAGTATCAGTGAGGTTGGCCACGTCTCCTATCTCAGGGTCATGTGTTTCTTGCAGTTCTGAAGGATTCTCAAACATTATCAAAGGCACAATTAACTATAGCAAGTGTCGGTGACACGTGGATCAGATGGGTGGTCACTGGAGTGTGTCCTTGAGCAAGACACGACAACCCTAGCTCAAAAATACAGGACGCTGCACAGTGGCGACCGGCAATGGCATGTCTGTAAACTGTTCTGTATTTGTGTAATAGTGTGTATTTATGTACGTATTTAGGCATGTATGTATTTATGTATGTAGGCCTACGTATTTATAATTATGTATTTATGTATGTATGCTTGCCATGGTAAAACAAAGTGCCCTTCTGGGACAAATAAGGGTGTAATTTATTATTATTATTATTATTATTATTATTATTATTATTATTATTATTATTATTATTATTTTATTATTATTATTATTATTATCATTATTATTATTATTATTATTATTATTATTATTATTATCATTATCTCCTCACTTTTTTGTTCCATCCAGCGTGTACGAGAAGTGGCTGCGAAGGCGTCTGGACTACGCTGTGATCAGAGAGACGGGCAACCACGCAGCCCCTGGGTTTATACACACTCTGCTTCACAGCGGCGACTGTCCCAGCGCAGTGACCAGGTGCCGTTGTCGTCGTCATCATCATCATCATCGTCATCATCATCATCATCATCATCATCATCATCGCTGACGTCAACCTTGACAGCTCGATTATTTTTGTTGTTCTTCTTCTTGTTCTTGTTGTTCTTCTCGTACTCCTCGTTCTTGTTCTCGTTCTTTTGTCTTGTTCTTGTTCTTGTTCTTCATGAACACCAAGTCAGTTGCGAACGCCGTAAAACACTTACCAAAAAAAAGGCTTTTCATTGTTCGTGATCATTATTACAATTCATATCACAGACTGTAGTCCTTACTGTGGCAGCAGATCGTTATAATTTCACACGAACCTCTTCCTCTCCTTTTATTTTTGCCTTCCTCATCATCAAACACTTATAAAGTACTCTCTGATACTTTTGGCCGTTTTGAGTTACTAAGACTATGAGGTCTGAAACCATATTAATGTTCTATCTTCACACTCTATCAAAATCGTAAAAGATTATTCGGAGTCGTTATCATATTATCAAGATATTCAAAGAGTTGCATTACAAAAAATTGGACATGTTGTGAAATTCAAAACCTTTGACTTCACATTTGTTGTTCCTCTTGTTCTTCTTGTTCTTCTCGTTCCTCTCTTTCTTCTTGTTCTTGTTCTCGTTCTTGTTCTTGTTCTTCAGGAACACCAAGTCAGTTGCGAACGCCATAAAGCACTTACCAAAAAAAAAAAAGCTTTTCATTGTTCCTGATCATTATTACATATATAATTCATATCACAGTAGTCAATGCTGTGGCTGTAGATCGTTATAATCGCACGCGAGCATCCTCCTCTCCTTTCATTTTTGCCTTCCTCGTCATCAAACACCGTAAGTTACAAATTCTATCAGATACTTTTGGCCGTTTTGAGTTACAAAGACCAAGAGGTCAAAAACCAAATGTTCTATCTGCTCATTCTATTTAAACAATCATAAAAGATTGTTCGGAGTCGTTGTCAAGATATTCCAAGAGTCGAAAAAGCTTGACATGTGAAATTCAAAAGTTTGACGTCAAATTTCTCAAATGTAGATCTATGAAAGTCCGTACTGAACGGACAAAACTTTGTAATTCTCAGGTATCTCCCTGTCTATCTGTTCCAGCGAGCTGCGGAAAGAGTTGTGGCAGCAGTGCAAACTCCCTAGCTCCACGTACTTCTCCCATGGCATCGTCACTTACAGCTATCCGGACACGGTCAAAGAGATTATGGACTTACGGTTCGCCCAAGAGAAGGCTCAAGGGAAAATGTGCGAGAGTCTTCAATTTTGCTTCAATTTTTGTTTGGGTATTTTTGGTAGTGGTTTGTGGTTTTGTTTTTTGTTTTTGTTTTTTGGGAGGAGGGGGGGTATTGTGGGTTTCTTATTTTGTCTTGAGTTCTTTCTTCTTTTCGTTTTTTTGGGGTTTTTTTAATGAATTTGGGTGTTTTGTTCCTTTTAAAGCGTGCTTCCTACTACTACTACTACTACTACTACTACTACTACTACTACTACTACTACTACTATTACTACTACTACTACTACTACTACTACTACTAGTACTACTACTACTACTGCTGCTGCTACTCAAAGTGCATGTGTGCACATGCGTGTGTATGTGTAAATAAATGTGTATGAGTGTGTGTGCCTGTGTGTGTTTGTATGCGTGTGCACGTGTATCTCTGTGTGTATTTGTGTGTGTGTGCGTGCGTGTGTGTGTGTGTGTGTGGGTGTGTGTGTGTGTGTGTGTGTGTGTGTGTGTGTGTGTGTGTGTGTGTGTGTGTGTGTGAGAGTGCGTGTGCACTGCTTGGCATCTTTGTATGTCAATTAGAATTCAATTTCTTTTTCATTAAAAGTTTGGTTTGGCAGGGGAAGATTGAAGGTGACATCTTCTTTGACTAATTATTTGATTGATTGATTCTTCGATCTATCGATTCGGCTATCGATCTAATGAGTTGGTTAGTCGCTAATCACAACACAACTGTTGACAAATAAACGGCGATCAGTCAGTCAGACTGTCGATCATCAATCTGTCAATCTGTCAGTAAGTCAACAAGTTCACTATTTGTTTGTTTTGTGAGTAAAGAAATGTATATAAACGTATCAGCGTTTGTGAAGTGCAGGGAAAGAGGATGACAGACAGACAGAAAGGCAGACAAGATATAAACAATAATGGTCTTGAGATTGGTTCTCTAGCGCTCCGGTATGCTTTGCTCCTTGTTTCCTTTCAAACATATATCGTCATTATCTCGCACCTCCTTCTTTTCCTTGTATGTTAGTCTCAGATAACAACTCTAATCTTTGGCACTTATATGACCTATCTGGGTTGCAAGTGCCGCAAAACTCTTACTAAAACCAAACCTTGAACAGAGTAGGTAGTTGACGGATGCTTTGGTGTTGTCTACTCCTTCTTTCCTATCAAACATTTATCGTCCTTATCTCTCCTCCTTTTTTGTATGTCACTTTATAATAACACCTCTAACTCTAATCTTCAGCATTCAGAGGAATCCGCTTAAACCAAAACCTTCGGGACCACTAGATTTTCTTTGCTTTAGTTGGATTTTCGGTTTAGAGAGGCTGCTAAAATAAAAGAGGACGTATTCAGTTTAAGAGGACTTCACTGTATGTGACCTATTTGTGCTGCAAGTACCGTAAAATTCTTGCTAAAACTAAAAATTCTTGCTAAAACTAAATCGCATATACCACTTCACTCCACCCTCTCCCCTTACCAGCAGGTACACAAGGCGTAGAGCAGTCGACGCCACGCTTGCCTGTCCCTGGCCACGTTCTCCAATTTTGGTACATCCAAGCCTTGGGTGATTGCCCCATCCCTTACTTACTGTCCCTCTGTAGCTTCCAAATTTCTTACAACGTATTATTATTTAATATCAGGTGCCCAATGCGGATGGGATCTGGTCGGGTCGGGTCGATCACCCCACTCGTCGCCTGAAAACAAACGCGTTTGGGTTTTTTTAGGGGACGAGCCGGGTGCGATCGGCGTGTGCCATGAAAGATGTTTTGCCCCCTCAATCTGGCTAGCAAACCGACCCGACCCGACCGACCCGACCCCCCACTGGGCACCCCGTATAAGTTTAGTATAACTTACTATAACCCTCGTCCCCAGCTACACGCCAATGTCATCCAACTTCGAAGGAGCGTACAACATTTCCTTCCACGAGCTGGCCTCAGCCCCCAACTGGATGGCGCCGCTCACCGTGACCGACTGCACACGGCCCCACACCCTGGAGACACCGATGACCTGGCCTTTGGACAATGATGGGCCCCCTGGTCTTATGGCTCGGTGCCCAGTGAGTTTTTGTGTCTCAGAATTAGAAAGCGGGGTTTGTTTTGTTCTTGTTTGTTGTTGTTGCTTTTTTTTCGTTTGTTTTGTTGCTTTGTTGATTCTGTTTTTGGGGAGGTTTAATAGTTTTTTGTAGTGTTGTAGTTGTGGTTGTCGTCGTCGTCGTCGTTGTTGTTGCTGTTGTTGTTGTTGTTGTTCTTCTTCTTCTTCTTCTTCTTCTTCTTCTTCTTCTTCTTCTTCTTCTTCTTCTTCTTCTTCTTCTTCTTCTTCTTCTTCTTCTTCTTCTTCTTCTTCTTCTTCTTCTTCTTCTTCTTCTTCTTCTTCTTCTTCTTCTTCTTCTTCTTCTTCTTCTTTTTATTATTATTATTATTATTATTATTATTATTATTATTATTATTATTCATTTAGTTATGGTTTTTTTTAGAGGGGGGGGGGCTGTCCTTTTTTTAAAATCCTACCAACACAATGTAGATTACAATAATATTTAGGAGGAGACTGAATCAGCATCTGCCTCCAACAAGATCAAACAGAGGGATTTCAAAATCCTAGAAGCAGCTGTGCATTTCAATAAATGTGTTCATCTTTTGAAGCTTACAATTTACAAACATGGAATTATTGACCGGGTGCCCTCCAATACGTTTGAGTTTTGTTTTTCTAAAGATTAAAAAAGTAAGGTGCAAAATCCGAAGCCACGTTGATAGATTCACAGACATACACACATGCACGCACACACACACACACACACACACACACACACACACACACACACACACACACATACACACACACACACACACACACACAAACACACACACACACAAACACTCTCTCTCACGCACACACACACACATACCCCCCCCCACACACACACACATATATACACACAAACACACACACATACACACACATACCCTCAAACACACATACATACCCTCAAACACACACACACACACACACCACACACACACACACACACACACACACACACACACACACACACACAAACTCACAAACTCCCCCACACCCCTCCTTTTCAGGACCCGCGTCGAGTGAACGAGCCAGTCTTCCCCAAGTGTTGCCACAACAAGGAGTGTCCCTGCAGCGCCATCTACTGCCGGGAACCGTTGCCAGAGGCTGTCTACAACCCTGGGCCGATGGTTCGGGGCGACGCCCTCTTAAAGTGGCGGTGAAATCAACACCTTCACCGCGGAGACGTTTCCCCTTTTCACTTGAACATTGTTTATAATTCAAGATGGCCCGCGGGTGGTTGGAGGGCGCCACAGGAAGCTACTCCCTCTTTACTTTCCCTCTGTTGTTTCTGTCTGTTTGTCTGTCTTACTTTTTTTTCCAGTATTAAATTACCTTTATCGTGTCCGCGTGCTTCTCTTTACTCAAAGAAATTCAAACAAGTCAAGATGGCCGCCATTTCCATAGCATCGGTGATGTTCTCTCCCTCCCCACCCCCACCCCCCCACCCCACCCCACCCCCATAAATTCCCTGTATTTCTTTTACAGTTCATGCTTAGTAATCTTAGTGATACTAGGAAAATTCATTGCAAAAGAACTTGAAATGAGCAAGATTGAAATTTTAGGAGCCTCTTCCCTTAAGTATAAGCGACAGCCAAAAGTGTCATTACACCTCCTACCTCAAACGGCCCCCCTGTGCCATTAGAAACAAATGGCTAGGAACTAGTTTTGGAGAACTCGAAAAAATCTATACGGCTGCTCAGAAACAAAGAGGTTAACATACGTTTTAAACAAAAGCTCACCATGGTATCGGGTCTGTAAAATTGATTAAATCTTTTATAAAGGCATCTATGGCTACACGCTGCGTATCTTTCCAATTGCTTTCTAGTTTGTTTGCTTAAGGTTGGTGTTATCTTGCGTTGTCGTGGCTTGTGGCATCCCCTTCTCGTTTCTTTTGTGTGTGGTCATGTGTGTGTGTGTGTGTGTGTGTGTGTGTGTATGTGTGTGTTTGTGTATGTGTGTGCGTGCGTGCATGTGTGTGTGTGCATGTAAGTGTTTCCCCATCGACGAAACCCAGATCATATTTACGAGCCTGTCGGGGCTAACCCGGGTTGAGAGGGATACAACATCCCAGCAAAGAGATCGAGACTCTCGATAAAAATTCTACCCGCCAGGGTACCTATCTAGGGTCTCCTGCCTACAACGGCGAAGCGCCGTATAATCTCCTCCATATTACAGATGCTGGCCTTTTCCCTCTGGCGACAACCTGAAATTACTTTTCAATTTCATTGTTTACCAACATTTCGTCTTTCTTGCTGGGGGTTTCTGAGGGGGGGTTTTTGTGGAGGGAGGGGGGGGGAGTTCCAGAACAAACCTGTTATTGCAGGTACTTCATTCCTTTTTCATACCTATATTGTTACGTCGTTTTCGAGGGGAGAAAAATTAACACAATTTGGGTTTTCCCATTACCCATTATAACAGTTTACAAGATACTTGACAATCATGGAAGCAGCGTGGGTTCGAATCTATATTATATGGAAGAGGCGTTTCTAAGATACAACCCTAGCTTATCGGGGTGTATTTGGTGTAAATATATATCAGAAATAATTTAAATCAAATGAATTTTGCAGCAATTGAACATATTTTTTAAACAGAAAAAGCGTACCAGCGAATACGGTGAAGCGATTGGGCGCTTCCCTGTCGCACGTAAAAGAATTGAGTTCGATTCCCATTGGGGGGGGGGGGGTTATTGCATAACTCCGTTTTTCTGCAAGGATTTTTTTCTCAGTTAGCCCTGCCAGACGGGGTGTAAGTCCTCCAAAATAATTTATCTACATTGCGTCGATGTAATACACCTATATACCAAAACAAAAAACTAAAAAAAAGTATACACTCAAACAAAGCTGTAGTTAAACAAGGTTTAATATTCTCCGTATTGATTAAGCATGGTTAGATAAGCTGAAACAGTTAAGGTTCAAACCGAGAAATACAGCTGACTGCCTTAAGCAAGCACGTTTGTTCACTGTTGAGTAAGTTTCACAGAGCCCGACCAAGGGCTGCAAATGTTCCTGTCAGCCCCTCGAACACCTTAATTAGAAGGTAAGGGACACAGGACCTGAAAAAAGGATGTATGTATTAAATTTTTGTTTTCAATGTAGAGGGGCGGGGGGGGGCGTTGTTGTTTTTCACGCCCCCATCGACACAATGATTTAAATCCGGACTCGACCCTGCCTGTCAGGGCCAACCCGGATTGAGAGGGATATAACATCAGAGCAGAAAGACCGGAATACTCGATAAAAATTCTCCCCCACAAGGGAATCGAACTCAGTCTTCTGCGTGCGGCGATGAAGCGCCTAACTTCTGCATCACAAATGGCGATAAGGATGAATTATGAACGCACATATACTCCCCTCTCCCCTCTCCCCCCCCCCCTTTTTTTTTCATTGCGAACATGCAGGGGGTTGGTTGGTGGGGGGTCACAATGGGGTTGTAGCTCTGTCTTCCGGGAACAGAGGAAACATGTGATAGACAAAGGTGTATTTGCTCGTTTGTTGTTGTTGCTGCTTTGTGTGGGGGTACTTTTATGTGTGTTTTGTTCAGGGGGGGGGGGGGGCGTCATCTTGTTTATAGTGGGGTTTGCGTGTTTTTTTGTTTTGCTGTTTTTTTGTTTTTTATTGTTGTTGTTGTTGTTGCTGTTGCTGTTGTTGTTTTGGTTTGAGATGTTTTATTGTTGTTGTTTTGGGGAGGGGAGGAGATTACGCTAAACTCTTATGAGGTATTTGTCAGGATTAAACCTACAATCAAAGTGTATATTATATCGGATACCTTAATTCCAGATCTGAAGTATATTAACACAGTGGCCTATCTATTACAATCGACTCAACATGGGGCATTTTTTTCGAGAGAGGGACTGGGGTGAGAGGGAGGAGCCGAGAGCAAAAATCATTCCCGACATAAGAATTGGTCAGTTTATAGTGAAAAGTATGCTTTTAGAGACTGCTCATCCATGGGCTACTTCGTCATCAGGTGCCAGATATGCGACAGACACCGAGGATCATGGTTCTCCATTCATTCCTTTGCTCGGGTACTCTAAAAAAAAAAGTTACATTTTCAGGATCTTTCCCCGTCACTCATCTGTTAAGGGTCTCCAAGAAAGTTGCTCTGGGTCTACCCCTAGCTCGTTTGCCTTCAGTTTTGCTAGTGAGATCTACTTAAGTACATTGTACTTATAATTATGGTAATACAACATTCCCAGCATTTTGACATCATATTGAATTGTGGTCAGCTGATTTTGACATACCTACACATTCTTAGAGACAAACAAAATAATGGGTTTACCTCAGAGCTGAGTTCTCGACCACAGGTAACTGGTCTGGGTCTTGTGAATTTGACACACGGGGACACAGTTTAATCAGGACCCCAGAGCTCAAAAACTGAACTTCCACCTCTGTCATCTCTACAAATCTCTTGGTTATGAATTTTTTACATGTAATCTGACATAAGATATTTCCTAAGGTACTTACTCTGACATAAGAAATCCGTAAGATTCCCCACTCCTGACTCCAGTTCAAGGTCGCTGTTTACTCGGAAGATGTTTTGGGGATTTCCCGACGCTAAGAGTAGATCGATTTCCAAAGCGGCTGGTGCAAATCCAACAGCAAACACCTGGTTTTGATAGACATCAATAAGGATGAACAACGATGTAAAATCAACAATAATAATTACAACTCTGACAATTACAAACGGTTCTTGAAATCACTTTCACTGCTTGAACTAACAGTCGATCTACTTATTCGGCAGCGTCATTCCACAAACGCTCAAGTCCATGTCGGGGAGTTTCCAGATAAAGTTGTTATTCGAATATACAGATTAATATTAAGGGGCATCTTACAACAATAATCAATAATATGCATGTGTACAGGTATTTTCGTTCTATTCCGTTCATTCCTTCCAGGTCTTGGATTGAAAAATAACACGTTGCAAAGTCTTGGTTCTGATTGGGACGCTCTCTTTTCTTTTTTTTACTTTCTCTCTTTCTCAAAACTTCAAAGAATCATGTCTTTGACACTTGTGGAAAGATGCTAACTTATTTTGACTAGAGTTTTGTTCGTTCGGTTTGATTATGTGTTTGTCTTCTTGGTTGTGTCGTTGGCTCTTTGGTTGGTTTGTTGGGACTTGTTGATTGGTTGTATGGACAGTCGAATTAATCATTTCAGTCTATACATCACCTCACCTCATGTACCCTCTGTAACATTGGTCTCTTAATAAAGTGTATTGTTTCCTGTACGTTTGTAAGGCAGAAGGATTCATTGGTTATATTCTACTGCAGTAAAATCTGATTCTATACCTGGAGATATGATACACAAGGTCGAATGCCTTACTTATAGTTTTTTTATAGCCTATCTGACAATCTAAAAACAAAAGAATGCTTACACCAATGGAGTAATTATAATCTTTTTGGGGGTGGATGCTGGGGGGGGGAGGGGAGAACCACAATTCACCACCATTCCGCTGTCAATATGGCCACATTTCGCATGCCTGAAGCAAGGTGAATTTGGAGGTGGGGGGGTGAGAGAGAGAGAGAGAGAGAGAGAGAGAGAGAGAGAGAGAGAGAGAGAGAGAGAGAGAGAGAGAGAGAGAGAGAAGGGGGGGGGGGAGAGAGAAATGGTGAAGTCAGGCGCTCGTCAAAATTATGAAATCAAAGGTATGGGTATTTATTTTGCTGTCGGTTTAGCACATTTTGTCGAATTTTCGTCTCCACACCTTTTTGTGTCCATTTATAAATACACATGTGTGCATTTTACCGAAAAAAGTTGATTTAAAGCACAAAAAATGTCAATCTTTGGAATCCAAGGACTCTTAAGCTATGGAAGTCCCCAAATTTTAGCGACCATTTATTTTCTCGCTAATTTTACCTCTGAAACCATGCGCCACCCACCTCCTTCAATTGCAAATACCTCGACTTCTCTTTAAGATAGAAGAGTATATTTTACATCAAAAGACAGACAAATGAACAAGCTTTGAGGTGATACCAATAATAACTCCACATGCCCAATAATTGACGAGCGCCTGATTTCACCGTGTGGTGACACATTTTTTACCTCCACTCCGCGCCGCCTGATTGTTTGAGCTTCAATTGTCAGCTCCGTCTTGTTTGTCACTGTACCGTCGACCAAATACAGGATCACTTTACGGGTGTCTGAAAGATGAAGACAAGCACTTTATCGTTGTTACTGTGTACGCTTTTATAGCGTCACGTAGGTAAAGGAAATATGCCATAATGGTTGTTAATGGTTAACTAAAAGAGTTAAATTTCAATGTTGTGAAGTTTTCTAAAAATGCATCTTGCTTAAAAATGTGGGAGTACCCCTTGAAGAAAAAATCAAGGAGAAGGCCACGTGAAACCCGGAGAATAGTCAGAGAAAATGATGTACAGAAAATTGGGATGACTTGGAATAATATGAAGAGATTAGTCCAGGATAGGAGAATGTGGTAATTGTGTGTTCTCTTAAAGATGCCAGAATGCGCGTCCTCTATGAGTTAAAGAAACCAGAATGCACGCCTGGAATGAGCTAAAGAGACTAGAATGCGCATCCTCTATGAGTTAAATAATGACAATAGATAGCATTTGTATAGCACAAATTTCCACTTAACAGGAAACTCAATGCGCTTTAAAATATATATTATTATCCCAGCAGACCTGATAGCATTCTGAAACAATCTTAACTTCACGGAAGCACTCAGAGCAAACTGCCATTTATAGACGCTAAAACACTACCATACTAATACAAGATTTTTCACTGTCTATGGCCGGGGACCCATTCACACCTGGGCGGGGGGCTCTCGTGGCCAGAAGGTTAAGGCGTTCGCCTCTCATTCAAAGATTCCGGGTTCGAATCCTGGTAGAGAACGAGAAATTTTCTTCTCTAAAATTGTCTTCTTTCACCTCCTTTCCTGCTCTCTACCAATGCTCTGTCGTCTGCTTTCGTCTCCACTTTCTGCCCCCATCCCCTCACCTCCTCTGGGCTCATGACTCTTTCTGCAGCCTTTCTACAATAACTGCTACTCCTTGGCTCCTTCTTACTGCTGTCTTTCAGCCACACCCCTGATCTTATGGTAGGAAAGATATACATCTAACCTACTCGGACAAGGGCGAAAAATCTAGAAGGTCCCGTGTGCAAGTTGCGCATGTTAAAGATCCCTTGGTGGTCTAAAATCGATAAGAGTAGGCTTCGGCTGCCACTCGAGCAAAATTCAAAATTTTCTACCAACTGAAAATGGTTAATGTGTCCCGTGCGCTCATATGACCTCATGTATTTGCGAGCCCCGTAAAACACTTACAACAACAACAACAACAAAAAACCCAAAAATACACCTGGGCGAAGTGAGGAAAATTCGTGTAAATAATGTGCCTTCCCCAAAGACACAACGTCTGGCATGAGGCTCGAACCCCCGATCCCGCAACCTCACGATTACGAGTTCGGTAGCCTAACCACTACGCTATCTTAAAATTACAAAGTTCTATCTGCTCAGAATCTAGTTTAGAGAAATTTGACTTTAAAAATTTTGAGTTTCACCATGTGTCAAGCTTTTTCGAATGCAATTCTCTGGATATCTTGATAACGACTCCAATAAATAATCTTACGATTTTTATAGAGCAGACAGATCATTTGGTTTCTGATTTCATGGTCTCAGTCACTCAAAACGGCTGAAAATGCCATATAAAACTTTGGAATTCTAAGGTACAGTGGCGGTTTGTTAACTAGGCAAGACCGGCGGTGCCGGTCAGATTTTTGTCAACTGAACTGTTGATTAGAGGTTTATTGCTGATGACGATTTTCATTCAGTTTTAAGTAAATCCAAACAAACATGTATCAACATTCAAAAACACCTTGCCGATTAGAAGGTGCTCAAATAGACAAGTGGGATTCACTGTTTTGTCGCGACAAAACCTCATTCCTTAACGTTTGTTATCGCGAAAGCTCGTAACTTTAAATCGTCTCCCGTCAAACCGTCACGTCGCGGAACTTCGTACTACGTACGAGGCCAAACCACTGATCTCAGTGGGCCAAACACACGGCGGGCTTGGCTTAGGCCTTGCGATGGGCTACGTCAGTCCCATGGACAAATCCATCGTCAGCCCACAGAAAGATTAGTATATCCCTTAATTGCCAGACTGGCCTCTTTGTAGCTTACAAAATTAAGAATGAGACTGTCTTGAGCAGCACAGACACATGTATTATTTTATCAGCAAAATATTTATTTATCAGTCAGCATTTCTCTAACTACTATCAGAACATTTATTGTCAGCATGGCACTACTCTTTTTTGTTTATTGACTTTTTAACCACGTATAGTTCCTGTTTGGCATTTACTCATCGTTTTCTCCCCACTAATAACTTACCTGGCCCTTAGGAGTCTGGCTGGCGAAAGAAGGAATCGTCTAGTGAAGATATATAAGGAAAATTTTAACGAGGAGCGATAGACACTCGGCTGTCTGAGTCTGGGCCGAAAACCCCCTCCCTTCCCTCCCCTTTTCAACCCTCACCCCAGCTAAACACCAAGTTCTATAATTAGCATTTGACACACTTCCCCACTTTGTTACAACACAGTGTTCAGTGTTCAGTTCTGAGAACTGAGAACTGAGAAGTGCGATGAAGTACATTTGATGATAGAATGATCGGAAACGTGTGTGCTTTGTCCAGCTTTGTATAGCATCTGATTGTAGACTTGATCTGCTTGGGACAGCGTCACTGGTACAGTAGCAATTGACTTTTTGTCATCATACAGGACAGTTCTTATTACATATATTTAACGGGTTCAGTGCACGTCGATATTTTGTGTGGGGGTGTAGAAAGTACGAGTAAACTACTGTACTGGAGGCCAGGACCAGCGGTTTATTGCTTCTCACTGTCAGTTTGTTTTCAAGCTTAGACTCAAGTAGTGTGTTTCTTTTTCTGTGCCGATCAAGTGAGTTTCTATTAATCTCAGTAACTTCCATCTTACATTATTCATAATATTGTTTCTTGACACTACCGCATATTTTAGCTCTTTCACATTATTACAATGTTTACTGTGGTGTGTGTGTGTGTGTGTGTGTGTGTGTGTGTGTGTGTGTGTGTGTGTGTGTATGTGTGTCTGTTGTGAAGGAAGGGGGTGGGGGAGGGAAAAATAGTCGACGTGAATGACCGCCGGTCAGTTCTATAAACCACGAGCCGCCACTGCTAAGGTAGCGTCTTTTAGTTTAGTTTAGTAAGAGTTTTACGGCGCTAGCAACTGCATAAGGTCATATGAGCGCGTGAAACACGACAAGTCGGTTGCATTCACACCAGTTCACAGCACGGTTTGGTTTTGGTCAATGATCAGATTTTGAAATGTTAAAAAACGAGGTAAAATAATCATTTTAAAATGACAACCTACTTAAAATTAAAATAAAAATAACTGAATTTACAATGTACCGTAAAGGCCAGTGGCCTTTAAAAATTCGAGAATTCTGTTGGAATCAACGACGGACAACAGATCTTGCAACTTTTTGCATTTAAAATACTTCTTTCGAGTCTCTCCAAAGTCCAAACATTGTGTTAAGATGTGTCTAATGGTAAAATCTGTGTCGCATCCTGCACAGAACGGTTTCTCATCTCCCTGAAAGGTAGCGCCTAGACTACCGATGCCACTAAAGACTAGAATGCACGCCCGTTAAAGAGACAACTCACCAGGACTTCTTTGCGGCACTGCCCCCGAGAAGACACCTTGCGCCGCCTTGAACGCCAGCCCAGCCTGTGTGTTCTGGTACTCAGGGTCCACGTTGTCCACGGCCGTCATCACGGCGTTGGAGTCTGTCGTGATCTCGCTGACCACCTGGGCGGTTATACTGACGAACACAGGGAATTGGAGCGATTTCAAGTGGTATAGAGCGGTTGTACTGACAAACACAGGGAATTGGAGAAACATTTGTGACTGGTTGAGAGTGTTTATACTGACGAACACAGGGAATTGAAGCGATTTCAAATAGTACAGAGCGGTTATACTGAAAAACACGTGGGATTGGAGCGAAGTTTGTAACTGGTAAAAAGTGGTTATATTGACAAACACAGAGAATTGGAGAAACATTTGTAACTGGTAGAGAGGGGTTATACTGACGAATAAACACAGGAAATTGTAGCGAAATTTGTAACTGGTAGAAAGTGGTTATACTGACAAAGACTGGGAATTGAAGCTATTTCAAATAGTCAAATAGTAGAGAGCGGTTATACTGACACCCACGGGAAATTGAAGCGATTTCAAATGATAGAGAGCGGTTACACTAACAAACACAGGGAATTGGAGCAAAGTTTGTAAGTGGTAGAGAGCAGTTATACTGACAAACACATGGAATTGGAGCGAAGTTTATAGTAACTTCAAACACTTGAAATTTGTTGCGAGCGGTTACACTGACAAACACAGGGATTTGAAAGTGATTTCGAACACATGGAATTAGTAACTTGGGGTGAATGGTTATACTGACAGGGAATTGAAGCGGATTCAAACATTTGAAATGCGAAGCTAACTAGTAGAGAGCGGTTACACTGACAAAGACAAGGAATTAAAGCAATTTCAAAGATTTGAAATTTGTAACTGGTTGTGAATGGTTATACTGACAGAGAATTGAAGCGATTTCAAACACTTGAAAATTGTAACTGATAGAGAATTGTTACACGGACAGGGAATGAAGAAAATTTCGAACACATTTAATTTGTACCTGGTAGCAAGTGGTTATACTAACAAGGACAGTGAACACACACCGCCCGCGCACACACACACACACACACACACACACACACACACACACACACACACACACACGTA